ACACACACACACACACACACACACACACACACACACACACACACACACACACACACACACACACACAAAATCATTATATTTAGAGGCTGCCATCCAGCCAGCAATTTCATTCATTGGCCTGAGTGGGAAAACACCTCCAGTAGCTGAGCAACTGTCAGGATTACTTTAAATCCTCGGGTGGAAATAATATCGGGCTCACAGGCAGTGTGTGAGGAATAATGGGGCGACTGAATGGATCCAGAATGAATTGCTGTTGGGAAGAACAGACACCCACAACAAAATCCATAAAAGTCTGAAGAAAGGGGAGAAAAGACTGATTACAGTCTACAAACAAAATCTTGGCGGTCTAATGCTAACATGTACACAAATACCAGTGAACTTGTAGCTCTTGGCGTTTTGTGCACTCAGGCAGAAAAAAAAGTTCTCTTTTTTTTTTAAATCAGTATTTTTCTTGTGCAACAGTCTTTTAAAAAGCTTCATATTGCAGCAAATTTACCGTAGTTTAGTTGGTGTATTTGAAGCTTCTCACAGTGACTGCATAGATAAATAATTTTTCTAGTCTTTTTGGTCCTAATTCAAATTAAACAGTCAAAACAAAATGTAATCTGGTCTAAAATCTTGATTGTTGCTAATAATGCAAATAATAATGCAATAATGCAAAACTTTAACAGGGTGACTGAGACTTGAAGTTGAGGATGACAAAAAACATCGACGACGCAAAATCACATAAAATACACACATTTTATTCTATTTTATAAAACTGCAGTGATGTGCAAAAACTGCAAGACCTTATTTTTAAGGAAGCATAAGTGACTTTTAAAAAGAGTTTTGCTATTTAAAACACTTGTGCTTGAGTCAGAAGATATTTGGGAAAATGCTGTGCTGGCTGAGGAGTGACGGGTAAAAGACCTGGGGTCAGATTTATAAAGGATTGCGTGAAAACCATACTAAAAGTGAACGTACGGCCAAAAGGCGAAAATGGCGTACACTCAAAAACAACAACAACAACAAAAAAACAGATTTATAAAACAGTGCGTAGCTATGCATGTTTCTGTGCACCTTTCCTTTATAGATCACAGCTGCACCTCAGAGTTTGCACACAAGGTCCGGCCGCAGGTTCTGCCCTCTACACGCCCACACTCAACCATAAACAGTCAATGTAAAGTACCTCATGAATGTTAAGATGTATTTAAATCAGTCAGCTGATCAATGTCAAAAGAAGTTATTGGCTCAGACACGCTCCGCCGTGTGTCTGGACTGGAGGATGACAGGTGCTGACAGCTGCTCACGTGAACAGAATGTCTAAGTGACAGATTTTCCATCATTTTGCAGGTTTACAGATGTTTAGAGTAATCTAATGATTTTTTCAAAAACTCAGCTTCAAATTAATTTTCTCTCAGAGCCTGCAGGATGATAAAAACAATAAATAAAATTAAATAAGTCAGATAAAGTTAGAAATAAGTTCATCACTTTTGAACCCCATCATCCCCTTCCTGGCAGCTGACCCCCCCCCCAACAGCCTCGCGTGCGTGTGAGAAATACGGACTTTAAAAAGAAAACTTTTTATAACATCCACACTGGCGAGGCCCCCTGCGCAAGTACCCAAGCATGACTTTTGCTGTTGTGCTGTTAAAATGTCTCTTGTCGGGGAGGGGTCTGTGGGTCAGGGTCGTCTGAGGAGGAAGGAGATTGATGGAGATGTGTGAACTTTTATTTAAGATCTAAGTTTTTTATTTCAAAGATCCTTATGGCTCAGCAGCAGAAGCATAAATATTACTGTTAAAAAAGCTAAATATCTAAAATCTTAGTCTGATTATTAAGGTAAGGACAGTGATCATGACACAGTGTTACCCTAATTCCTCACTTCACCATCTGTGTCGCAGCTTCACGTCTCCAAAATGAGCGTACGCATGGGTCAGAGCTGGCGTGAGGCACCACACATTATCACTTCAAGTTTGGATTTTATAAATCACAACCTTGGCGTGAAAAGTGGTGTACGCAAGTTTCTGGGCTCGTTTTGTGCGTACGCAAGTTTTATAAATCCGACCCCAGCTCAGTCGTTCAGACACTTTATCGGCTGATGAGCCTGTTTAATGAACGGCCGCAGCACTGTGCCCTCGTTTCTCCTCTCGCTCTCCTCCGTGTAGAGGTTGTGCCCTCGAATATATTCGATGACAGAGTCCGGGATCAGGTACTTGACGCTCCGGCCGCGTCTCAGCGCCCGACGGACCTCGGTGGCGCTCGTCTCGTTCCTCACCCATTCCCGCACGAGGAAGATATTCTGCCTGTGGCGGTACAGCGTGTCTGACTCGTGCACAGCTCGCTCGGGCTGCAGACTCCCGCGGCTGACGCAGACCAGGCCGAAACGGCCTACCAGGTCTTCCACGTGATCGTCCGGCCACAGGCCAGGAATCTTGATGGTGTGCAGGAAATCAGCTCCACACAGAAGCTTCAATCTGGGGAATGGCACTGACATGAGAGGAAGAGGAAGACAGAAAAATAATCACAAGGATTTGATGTTGAATATTTTTAAGCTTCTCATAGTTAAAAAACTACAAAACAATCTAATCAGACCACTCAAGCCCTGATTTGTACTGTTTTATATAAACCCATCAACCAATTTTCATCCGTTGATTTCTTCAAATGTTTTTATCCCCAAAATATTCTGCCCTCTGGGTGATTTTCTAAACCCACTCTTCTTGAGCCTTTTTCCATGCAAATGCAACAGCAAAAGCCTAATCCTCAAGTGGTGCTTGTTTTGGATATGTGAAAATATTCCATTGGATTTCTGCCATCTGGCTAATCCACAATCAAACTACAAAAATACACCATAATACTACGTGATTGACTGACTGCTCATACTATTGAAGAGCCAAAATGCTGAGCTCGTATGCAGTGGTGTTAAAACAATAAAAGAACTTACAATGGACTGGCAAAAAGAATAAAAATGTTTGACTAAAGCTGACCCGTCTTTTCTGCAAATTTTAAGATGCTCAAGAAAAAGGACTGAAGAGAAATGGATGGAACACAAATTATTCTGGCAGTTTTTCTTTACTCTAAAACTATTAAATAAACACTGAATCTGTGTTTAATGACTCTAAAATGCAAACTACGAGAAAGAAAAGAGACAGATACAGAGACAAACTTATAATGTTTTGTATAAAATAGAATTTGAAGTCAAGGGAAAAACAATAAATTCGTTCTCCTCAAATATTAATTACGTAAACCAGGAATTATCAGTGAAAACGGTCCTGGAAGCAGCTATGGTACATTCAGAAACTACTCAGATACTTTAAAAGAACACAGAGCACCACAAAGCTTCTACTCTGCACACATGGAGCACAGGAGCTTTATGTGGGATTGATAGAAATCCTTCCTCTGAGCTTGTTGAAAATGAGTATTAAACTAATATTATCCATTGAAATTCTGCAGGAAATGCTGCAGGTTGCTAAATTGGCCTGCCCAAAACGACAAATTGAATCTAAAGACTAATCTTTAACACACTCACCATTTAGGATAAGTGGCCTTTAAAACACAAAGAACAGCTAAGACGGTAAGGAATGGAATTAATGTTGTCAACTTTTTATCCAGAACAAGACCGGATAAGGTAGCAGAAAAGGCTGACGAATGCTGAGTCCAGAGATTTCTGCTCAAAATATCAACTGGTTCAAATATTTCAGGCTGGACTAAAACGAAAAACTGACCTTATGGTATGGTCACCCAAAACAAGAAGAGGTCACAGTCAAAGGTAAATAAAAAAAACTGACTGGAAGAGATATGACTCTGTTTTCATTAATATATGATTCTTACTTGAGACGTTATTGTCCCCACTGGCGTCACTGTGTGTTCCTGCCCTCAGCTCATAATCTTTCAGAATGCGCTCATAATGATACCTGACCAACAACAAGAAGAAGAAAGAGAATTTATTAATTCATGATCAAATATAAACGTATTTGTCTCATTAATGTTCTTTACCTGCTAAAATATTGTCTTATTCTACTGCATCATTACAGTTTGTATTGATCTTACAGTAATTTTCCTTATTTCTCAAACTGAAGTAAACAACAGGAGGACTAACAGAGGACCTCAGAAAGATGAGTGAAAAAAAAAACACATCAGTGTTTGTTCAAACAAAGCTTCTTAAAGTTGCTCCAGTCCTTCTGACTGTGTGCACCTGTGTGTTTGTGAGTGGCATGGCGTGGCGTGTGACGTGGCCAGCTAACAGCCTTGGGGACAACGGTCCATTTCACGCCTTGATCAGCACACGTGTTGCACAAACACGGCTTAGAGACGGCCAGCTGAGAGGGGCACACGGGGTCCACTTATCAGGAGATTTGTGATAACTAGGGAGGAGGGATAGGAGGGGAGGATATAAAAAGCCAGAGGGAGAGAAACAAAATGGTTGAAATGATTGATGTGAGGCAGAATCTGGGTCAACTTTTATCTAAAATGGTAGGGAGTTTGACTGATTAGGCATCTACGCCGAAAGCAAAGGACAAATGATCCTGTTAGAAAACAGGTAGCTGCATTTTATAAAATCTGCTGTCAAAAAAAAGTGACCAACATACAAAGAATTACATCAGTTTAAACAAGAGCTATCGAAGGGATAAATTACTCCCTGAATATCAAATGTCAGGAGATGAACATTCAACTTATTAAAGAGCCTTTATTAGGCTCATCAAGCTAAACTAGGGGTCTGCAACTTTATTTATTTATTAACCCATATTTAACCAGGCCAATCCAACTGAGCTCACTGCAGGGGAGGCCAGGGCTTAAATGCAACTTTTGTACATGTTTTTGGTCTGTGGGAGGAAACAGGAGTGCCCGGAGAAAACCCACACAAGCACAAAGAGAACATGCAAACTCCAGAAAGACCCCTTGGTCCAAACCAGGGATCGAACTCAGGACCCTCTTGCTGTGCAGCATCAGTGCTAACCACTGATCCACCACGCTGCCAAACTGGTGGTTCTACAGACACTCTCAAGAAAAAAAAGGTACTTTTAGTCCAGATATTTGAAATCAGTTTGAAACATTTCTGCAGCAGACTGGGGGGGGGGGGGGGGGGGGGGTGCTGCCTGTGTTAACAGACAAATCAATAGTTATACATGCACAGTGGAGCCAGCTTTGTGTCAGCATTTTAGCTGAATGTGAGTTAAAATGGGATTAAAATGAAGAGATCAATCGCTGAGTTTAGTTGTCGAGCGAAGGGTTTGTTGGCTCAGTGCCATCTTTGTTTCAGTAAGTTTCGGACTCATGGTGTAGATCTGATGCTGAATGTGATGCTGTTCTAATGTACAGCAGGTTTTTATATAAGGAAAGCATGGAAATGTGTGACAACTAATGACTGAAACTTAACAGTTTGATCTATTATCCTGATTTAAAGAACATTTTGTGTCTCTATATAAATAGTATTTCGTAGGAGAGATGGTAAACACGGCTCTTTCAGTCATAAAAGTTGCAAATTCCTGAGCTAATTTATCAGTTTTATATCACCTCTTGTTCATGTCCTCATGCAAAGATTGCAATACGTTACCAAGGGTCATACAGCTTTTTGCTACAGCATTGTCAGTGAATCTGATCTATGTTTATTCCACAAGTTAAAGGGATCCCTGATTAGTTGGAACAGTAGACTTTATTTGACAAACATTTATTTTAACTGTAAAATACTGTAGGCTGTTTAGTTTTATAAATTTTTGAAAATATATTTTAACATGGACTGGGTCATTTTATTTACACACAAAGCATTCTGGGTAAATGATGATGTGGATAGGTCCTCGGTGTGAGCGAGTTATATCCACCCTGAAGGTTAATCTTGGACAATATCTGATGATCGACTCTTTTAAATGAAACCAGAGAGCGTTGACAGAGAGGAGAAGGTAGAAATGACTCAGCCTGTAACTGAAAATATGGATGGAGGACAACAGAGCTGCTTCATGGAAGAAGAACCTCAGCTTAGCCTGTTAGCCTTTGTGCTAGCGCCGATGCTACATTGACTTATATGTATTAGCTCGGCGCTAGCGCGACAAACAAGCTAAACTGAGGTCCTCCATCCATATTTTCAGTTGCAGGCTGAATCATTTTTGTGTTCTCCTCTCTGTCATGTGGATGGAGGACCTCGGTGACGAGAGGAGAATGTGTAGCACTGAGCTAATACATATATATGGTGATAGCATCTGGGCTAATCCTAAAGCTAACAGGCTAAGCTGAAGTTCTTCTTCCATGAAGCAGCTCTGTTGTCCTCCATCTATATTTTCAGTTACAGACTGAGTCATTTCTACCTTCTCCTCTCTGTCAACGCTCTCTGGTTTCATTTAAAAGAGTCGATCGTCAGATATCGTCCAAGATTAACCTTCAGGGTGGATATAGCTCGCTCACAGCCTTGCGCCAAGGACATATCCACGTCATCATTTACCCAGAATGCTTTGTGTGTAAATAAAATGGCTCCGTCGGTGTAATATATTTTTAAACTTTTAAAGATTATAAAAACTAAACATCCTACAGTAATTTTACAGTCTTTGTTTTACAGTTAAAATATGTTTATTAAATAAAGTCTAATGTTAACTAATCATAGATCCCTTTAAAACGGGCAAATCTGATGTTAAAATTTCTAATTTGGGAACTTGTTATAATTTTAATAAACATTAACATTGGATAAATATGGAAGTTGCCGTAATAAAAGGCTGGTAAATAAATAAATACATCCATGCAGCATTAAATGAAAACTGCCTCAGAATGTGTTGCTAGCATTAAACTCAGCAAAGAACGTTCAGGAAATATTCAGAATATCTTAAGTAATAATAATAATAATAATAATAAATATTTACAAAGCTAAAACACAAAATTAAACAATACAAATTTACAATAAAAACACAATGAAACTAAAAACTAAATGAGTAAGAATGAAAGTCAGAAGGCAAATTTGCACAGATGAGTTTTGAGTTGTGATTTGAAGATCGTAAGAGAGTCAATATTACAGATGTCTGGAGGAAGAGCGTGAGAGAAGACTCCATTTCCCTTGATGCTGAGGCGGACAAAGGGCACAGTGAGGTGTTTCATTACTCAAAGCAACATCATTTAGTTTTTCTGCACAAATACCCTTTTTTGATTAGGAATGATTCCTTGTAGAATAACCACTGAATCATCTACCCTTTGGGTTTTAATTGTGTTTTTAATCTAAATTTTCAGGCTTTTCAAGATCTGGATCACCATGTTCTGTACTGAAGTTCACCTTTACTTTTTGTGTTTACCTCACCTGCTCTGCTTGGCTAGCATTTGCTTCAATAAGCATTTTATTCTTGGAAGAATTTAATGACTTGATGAAGAAATGGAATGAAAGAAATGGGTCTTTGAATTCAGTTCTCTCCTTTGCCAGAGATTTTGCCGTGTTCTCAGTTACCCTAATTATGTCTACAGAAGCTCGTGTTCTCTGTTCCTCCTTTACTCACCTGTATCCACTCACCTCATTATCCCCAGCTTTACTTAAGCTTTTTATTCAGCCATATCCTTTTTGCTGCTTGTCGTAGTGTCATTAATTAGTTTAGGCTTACTGTAGTTCAGCTTCATCCTTATCCAGTCCAGTTATTTTATTTTGGTTCCTAGTTTCTTGCTTTTTTTATACTTTTAAGTTTTGTTTTTACCCCCCCCCAGTTCTCTATTACGCTGACACCTGTGTTTTTAACCCGACCATAACCCCCCCTGGCAGGTTAAACTTTAAAAAAAAAAGTTTCCCTACCTCATATTGACCACTGTCTCCGTCCAGTCTGGCTGTTGACTCTCCCATTCATCAACCGTGACCCAGTCGGAGCTCTGAAGCGCCAGTTTTGCCATGGCGATGCGATGTTTGGCGAGTACAAGACCTTGTTTCCCGTAGCCATCACTCACCGGAGACACAATGCCTCCCACCACCTCATACCGGCCTAAAGAAAAAGAAGATTTGCGTAGCTGCTATTAAAATAGATACAGTGTTTTGTCAGAGATGCTGAAGCTGTACCACAAATTGTCAGACCTTACATTTGAAGATAAACATTTAAACTGATCTTTTTGTAACTGGGAGATTAGGATGCTTGATCAAAACATGATGCTTTATCTAAACCCATTAAAGGGTTTAGCTAAAGCTTTGATTAGTGAGTTAAACTAAAAATAGATGCAAATTGTACGAAGTCTTAAAACACATGCATTTGTACTGAAACATTAAGCAAAATTAGGATAAAAACAGCTCAGATGTGCAGCACATAATAAATCTAACAGTGACCTTGAGGCAGGTCAGCTGATATAAGTTATAGTTCAAAGAGAAGACTATAAATATATTAAAGTTTCTGCTAACTGTAATAAGCACAGCTTTTATACATTCATAAAGCATCTTAAAATGAAAGATCTGGACGAGTACAATGCCAAAGGTGTAATGATGCTTTCACAGCCATGTAAGGTCAGTGCTTTTGTTATATAAGCTGTCTGCTGACAGTTCACTCCAGGACACAACACTATCTTACACACTGGTCAACAGCTCTATTTTGAGTTTGTTAATAAAGCTTTTTTGTTTGTTTGTTAATCAATGTTTATTCTTACTGATTCAAGTCCAAGACAATAGGTTTTGAAAGAGAGATGGACAAAATGATTCTTTGCATGTTTGATGGACAAAATTCTAGTTTGAAAAATTCTGTAGAGCTGCACTTGTTCATTAAATATCTCTGTCATATCATTTAAAATACCAGCAATAAGGTTGATCTACATTGTATAAAATAATATGAGTATAATGAAAAGATTGGACACGTTATGTTTGGATCTAACCTGTGCTGTGCATGTGGTCTCTGGCCAGCTCAAACAGTCTCATGTGCTGATTGGTGATTGGATTAAATGAGCCACAGGCTAACAAAACTAGTGGAAGACGGCAGGTGGCCATCGTAGTTGACCCTGTTGCACTGTGGTCAATGAGCCTTGGAGAACAGTAAAAGGAGTGTTACTATTATCCTGTAAGCGAGTTGGTGGTACTTAAAGTTGAGAGTAATAAAAAAAAAATACAAACCGTGATGGTAGTTAACTATTTGATTTAAGACATGATAGTCAGCTCCCTTTACAGAACAGCATCTGACAAAACAACGTATCAGTAAAAGTTCATTTTTGATTTGCAAACATGAAAAACAAAAATGTTTATTATTCACGAACAATAAAACTTGTATTAGTATGGCTCTGGGGGAGTGTTTGCTTTAAAACTCCGAGTTAAAGACTCAGAGAAAAGTAAAATAATTCGGTTTACTTACCTTTCATCACATACTCTCCATAATCATAATTAACAGAACCTTTAAAGCGTTCTGCCAAAACACGTTTCTGTTGCTTTTATTTTTAAAGGGTGTCCACATAGAGATCAGACTGTAAAGCCAGACTCTTCCTCGTGCTCATTTAAGGGCACGTGCAAAAAGTGCTAAACGTTAACGCATTCCGAGAAACACCGATTTGGCAGCTGGAAGCTAACTTAATGAGCTTGGTCGACTGTCTGAACGCGATATTCCGATATTTAAATTATATAATTAAAATATTTAATAGGCAGGGCAAAGAGGTTACATCTTTAAAATATAATATTCCAACTTAGACTGGGTTAAACAGAATTACTCTTTCAGAGGGGGGAAAAAGTATTAATCAGCTTAGTTTATTTACCTTCCTTTTAAATGAAGTTACATGGTGTTGCACTCATTTCACTCCCCGGTTTTTGCGGACGTCTCGTTCGATGGTTCCGCAGGGAAACACGGCAGAAGTGCGACCCCTGGTGGTTGATTATTGAATTGTTTTACCAGGAGCTCTCCATGGTACTGAATTATAAAATTCAATTTCAGCCTGCAGATCGATGATTTAGAAATCAATCAATGGGAAATCAATAAGATTAGATCTTTAAAGTTTAAAATATATTATATGTTTTTGTTGTGAGTTAAACTTTGTTATCTTTTTCAAATAAACATGTTTGACAGTTCAAGAGAGTGCCTTTGTAAACAATAATCCTTATAAGAAAAAAAGGGAATTGACATTAAGTGTAATATAATAGAATATATTCC